GAAGCCGAGGAATTTCCCTGCGTGGACCCCGAAGGTACATTTCTTTGGGTTCAAGTGTATTCTGCATTTCCTCGCTGTGTTGAAGACCTTTCTGAGATGGGTTATGTGGTCGACTTCTGTGTATGACTTGACAATCATGTCGTCCATATACACCTCGAGCATGTCGCCAATCTCTCCCCGGAAGACTTTGTTCATCATCCGTTGGTATGTGGCTCCGGCTTTCTTTAGGCCGAAGGGCATTACATTGTAGTAATAGTTTCCCGACTCCGTCATGAAGGTTGTGCTTTGTTTGTCGCGCTCGTCCATGGGGATCTGGTTGTATCCCGAGTATGCGTCCATAAAGGACAAGAGTTTGAAGCCCGTCGAGTTTTCGACGATCTTGTCGATGTTGGGGAGGGGGTAGGCGTCCTTAGGACATGCCCGATTGAGATTGGTATAGTCAACACACATGCGCCATTTTCCATTATTCTTTTTAATAAGTACAACATTGGACATCCAGGTTGAATACCGGGCTTCCGAAATAAAATTTTCCTCTAGGAGGTCTTTTACAGCTTTTTCAGCTACTGCAGACTTTTCGGGGGACTGTATATGCCTACGTTGTACTACGACCTTGGCGGTTGGGTTGATGGATAGCTGATGTTAGGCAACCTCGGGGTCGAGTCCGAGCATTTCCGCGACGCTCCAAGCGAAGAGATCAGCGTTCTCGCGGAGGCAGGCCCTCAGTTGTTTCCTCGCAAGGTCGGGGAGTCCTGCTCCGATCTTCACGCTTCTCGTCTCGTCGTCCCCGAGGGTCACAATCTCGAAGTCACCATTTGGGATGGGGCGTGCTGGGTGGATGGGCTGCCCGTTGGATGTAGGAGCTTCGCTAGCTTCGTCTTCACGGTCGGATTCTTCAGCGAAGCGGCTGTCGAGGTCTACTGAGCCGACGAGCTCCTTGGGTTCGCTGTTCAGAGTTGCGGTGGGCGCTTCTTTTTTGGTTTCCAGGGCGATAGTACTCAAGCCTTTCAGCGCGGCCTCGAAGTATCTCCGGGCAGCCTCGATATCGCCATTTAGGGTGACCACTGCCCACCGCCTTGTGTAGTATTTCATCTTTAGGTGGACGGTGGAGGGCACCGCGGTAAGTTCTGCCATCGTAGTCCTGCCCAGGATACAGTTGTAGAGGGACGAGCATTCGATGATCAGGAAGCGGACATTGACCTACCTGGCTGTTTCCCTTTCCCCAAAGGTGACTTTTAACTCCACGTACCCCCATGGTCTCATCGTCGTCCCGTTGAACCCTTGGAGGTCAGCGCCCACGTAGGGGAACAGGTTGGATTCGTCGAGCTGGAGGGTCGTGAAAAGGTGGGTGTATATGATGTCCACCGAGCTTCCGCCGTCGACCAGGATGCGTCTGACGTCGAAGTTTACCATCTGTTCCCGTATCAGTAAGGGGATGTTCGAGTTGGGGGAGCCCCCGAGAAGCTCCTCGAGGTAGAAGGTGATCGGGTTGGATCGGCCACAGAATTTGTCGGGGGTGCTCATTTTGCCAGAGCTGTTGGTGATGAGTTCCTCGAACTTTCTATTTACTGATCCTATGGATAGGTTCCTCGGGGATCCGCCGGAGATGACCATGGCTTTCGGAAAATACTCCCATCGACTGGTGGGGCACACAGGCTCGTCGGGGAGATCAGGTTCGTCGGGGAGGCCAAATTCTCTGAGCGCGAATCAATCTTTAGGTCGGCTGACGCAGAGGGCAACCTGCATACCATTGTCACCGTCAGAAGAGGGGAGGTCTTCGACTCTCTTGGCCTCGGGGGCATCTTTCCGTGGGGCTTCTCCTCCCCGGGTGTATCTCTTCAGATGGACATCCTTGATCAAGATTTCGATCGCGTCCTTGAGGTGGATGCAGTCTTCCGTAACATGCCCGTGGCTTTTATGGAAGCGACAAAACTTCGATTTGTCCATGTTGGGTTTGGGGGGTGTCGGCCTGGGGAAGTAGACACCTGCCTGGACAAATTCCGTTTTGGCGCACTCTGCCAGTATGCGCTCGCGGGAAGCGACTAGAGCCGTATACTCTATGAATCGGCCGGCTGGACCGCGCTGCTCGCAGGGGCAATCCTCCCGTCGGCGATCTCCTCCATACCGGTGGCTCGAGGCTCCGTCTTCTCGGGGCCCGCGGGGGTCTTCTCGGTCTCGCGTGTCCCGGGCGGAATTGGCCGCTTGAGTCTCCTTGAACCAGATGTAATGCGCGGCTCTGTCGAGAAAGTCTTGTAGAGAGGTTGGTCGGTGTATGGCCACAACTTCGTAGAATTTGGAGTCTCGGTGCAAGCCTTACTCTATCAAGTAACGTTTCATCTTGTCTGACGTTGTTACCTGTATTGCCTCTCGTGTGAACCTTTCGATGTACTTCTGGAGGGGCTCGTCGAGAGCCTGGATTATGGTGCCTAATGCGGCTTCAGTCTTCGGATGGCGGCGGGATACCGTGAAGTATCACGAAAAGAGGTCCTTCAAGACCCTCCACGATGTGACCGATTCGGGCTCCAGGCTTTTGTACCATGTCATGGCACCTTTCCTCAGTGATGTCGGGAATAATCTGCATTTAATAGCTCCTCGGACATTGCGGTAGTCGAGCATGGCCTCGATGTCTTCCAGGTGGTCATCTGGGTCGGAGGTGTCGTCGTACGTCGAGAGTGCTGGGGTTTTTTCCTTCCCGTGGGGAATGAGGGCAGCCATGATCTCTCGGGACAAGGGGGTCCTGTAGTCGTCCTCGTCACTGAGAGTTGGTGATCGAGGGGGTGATGGCCCTGGTGGCGGAGGCGCTTGATTTCGCGCCCTCGGCCTCCTGACCGGGGGTTCGACCCTCGGGGATCTGGTTGGGGGATCCCCCCTGGTTGGTCGTCGCTCCCGGACTTGTCTCGTCGGGGATCTAGTCCGTTCCCGCACTACTTTGGGTTGAAGCCTCTCTAGCTGGGGTCGTCGACTCCTGGGGCGAGGCGATGGACTCCTCGAATTCCCGTTCGGGTCTTCCCGCGGAGGGGACCTCGATGGGGCTTCGTGCTCTAGTGCGCCAATCCGTGCGTTCTGTTGGAACAACAAATGATTTGTTTGGTTGATGGCCGCGAAGAGGGCGGCTAATGTCGGGTCGGCTCCGGCCAGGACAGGGATGGGTTGGAACGCCGCTGGGCTCCTTGGTCAGAGAATAGTCTGGTGTGCAGCTTCCGCTGACGAAGGAGAGGCAATCTGGTCGTCCCTCTCGTCGGTCTCCAGAGGTTGGGACGTCTCTGTTTGCTTGCTGCCGTTCGCGGCGGGAGCGAGGATGAGGTCATGAACAACATCGTCGTGGTGTGGGCTAGCCATGATCGCGGAATGTTGGTGAAACTTTGGTTCTCTTCTCGGAGGAACGGGGAAGTTTTATTTCCCACAGACTGCGCCACTGATCTGACCTGATCAGAAAGGGATCACTGGCTGCCACGCGTCGTCGACTGGTTGCCTGTTCACCGGTGTTAAAGAGGAGGAGGGGTGTACCTACAAGACACTCTGATGCCAAAGTAAGGAATTGGGCAGAGTGATCACAAGTACAGAAAAAGGGGTAAGAAGAGATTACCCGACCCTCTAGTGAAAGAGGGTATTTATAGAGAGACCTCAGCGCAGGGCCAACGGTCATTTGAGTTGGGCTAGATGGTCAGACCCAACCCAAATGACTGCTAGGGATTACGTGGCATAGTGAAGACCAGGATGTGGTCTTCGCCCTAGTTCAACTGTCCCGTGATCTCCAGAAAGTGGGTTTGACCTGCTCTTTCGGAGGTGGGAAGTTGGTTGGTGACGTGTCCCCACGGAGGGGAGCACGTGGAGAACGTGTGAAGGACACGTTGTCCTGCCCGACAAGGGAACAGGCTCTGCCCACGGAGGGAGGTTCTGCCCGACGGGGGCAGTGTCTGGTCAACGGGAAGTCGGGTTCGATACAGATGAAGAAGGTTCTGCCCGCGGAGGGACATTACCTACCCGTCGGGGACCCTATGCTTGACGGCTGCGGCCCAAGCTGGGTTGGGCTTGGCAGAATATTATTAGGCTGGGCATGCTCGGTCAAGCCGGGGCCCAGGCCAGAACAGGTTTCATTAAAAATTCTTAGGTTTGGACATATAATGGAGAACAACATCCGAGTAACGTACATGCAAAGGCAACTAATACACACACATCAAGCAGTCGATCATATATGGAATTTGAGGAACATTTTAATCTGATCAATGATATGGTTGGCAATGCATTTTTGGAGTAAATGTGACATATGATGAACCTTTTGATTTTGATGGGGAAGAGTTGCTGAATGAGGAAGCACAAAGATTTTACTAATTGTTGAAAGAAATGAATACATCGTTGTTTGAGGGGTCGATATATTCAAAATCATCAATGTGTGTAAGATTATTGGCCGCAAAGTCAAATTGGAATGTTCCTGATCAGTGATGGAATACTTTGCAAAAATGATGTTGGATGCGACTCCTACGAAAGACAACTTGCCTACAAGTTATTATGATGCAAAGAGGTTGGTGTCAAAGTTGGGTTTAGAAGTACGAAAGATTGATTGTTGCATAAATGGATGTATGTTGTTTTATGAAAATGAGTTTGATATTAATGATGAGGCGCTGGAGGAATGTAAGTTCTGTAAGAGTCTGAGATATCAAGTTCATAGTAAAGCCATTAACCGTAAATAAAAACATGTTGCAATGAAGTCCATGTTTTATTTTCCGATAATACCAAGGTTAAAAAGATTGTTTGCTTCAATGCACAATGCAAGTCAAATGACATGGCATCATACAAACAAAACAAGTTCAGGCATTATGCGACATCCATCTGATGGTGAGGCATGTAAACATTTTGATAGGGTATATTCTGATTTTGTTGCAGAACCTAGAAATGCCAGGCTCGGACTATGCTCTGATGGTTTTACTCCATATGTCCAAGCATCCGCAATTGCATAATCCTGTTGGTCAGTTATCGTAACCCCTTACAAGCTCCCTCCAGAGATGTGCATGACAAAACCATACATGTTTTTGACTTGCCTCATTCCAGGACCGTCAAGTCCTAAAGCCGGAATCGATGTTTATTTACAACCTTTAATAGATGATTTGAAGAGGTTGTGGACTGGAGAATGGACATATGATATATCTCGCAAACAAAACTTTACTTTGCGAGATGCCTTGATGTGGACTATTAATGACTTTCCCGCTTATGGAATGTTATCTAGTTGGGGTACGCATGGCAAAATGGGATGTCCATATTGCATGGAATTTACAAAGGCTTTTACTTTAGAATTTGGAGGGAAAAGTTTGTGGTTCGACTGTCACCGCAGATTCCTACCACGAGACCATGTCTTTAGAAGAAACAAGACTGGTTTCAAAAAAGATATACGAGTAAAAGATTTTCCTCATCCGCGATTGTCACCAGAGGAAATATGGAATCAAGTTTCTGAACTGCCAAAATTTACAAATTATGGTGAAGCATGTAGAATTCAAGGATATGGGGTCAAATACAATTGGACAAAAAGAAGTATATTTTGGGACCTCCCATATTGGAAAGATAATTTATTGCAACATAATCTTGATGTTATGTATATTGAAAAGAATTTCTTTGATAATATATTTAACACAGTTATGGATGTTCAAGGCAAAACAAACGATAATGAGAAGGCTAGAAGGGACATGGACATTTTGTGTGATAGAAAAGAGTTGGAGTTGAAGCCTCGGTCTAATGGAAAATTATTAAAACCTAAGGCTTGTTACAGTCTAACTTCCCAAGATGCTAAAGCGATTTGTCGATGGTTAAATGAATTGAGAATGTCGGATGATTATGCTTCAAATTTAGCAAGGTGTGGTGACACCAAAACTGGGAAGTTGCATGGAATGAAAAGTCATGATTGTCATGTTTCCATGGAATGATTGCTTCCAATTGCGTTCAGTTCACTACCCAAACATGTGCTATATCCGCTAATTGAAATAAGTCAATTGTTCAGAGATATTTGTGTGTCAACTTTAAGAGTTGATAGCATTATTAAGTGGGACCAAAATATTCCAGTTATTCTATGCAAGTTGGAACTAGTTTTTCCACCTGGTTTTTTCGACTCTATGGAGCATCTACTTATGCATCTTGCATATGAAGCCTATCTTGGTGGCCCCGTTCAATACAGGTGGACGTATCCCTTTGAAAGATTCATGGGTGATTCAAAACGATCAGTGAAGAATAAAGCTAAAGTTGAAGGATCAATATGTGCACATTACTTGCATCAGGAAACATCACATTTTTGCAGTCATTATTTCAATAATTTGATGTTAACTCTAAGAATCATAAGGAATGAATTTGATGTTAACAAAAGAAGTCAGTTTACCTTGTCAATCTTCGGTCTTCTCGGTCGCCCCTCTGGAAAGGAGAATGTGCATGGGCTGACCCAAAAAGAATTGCAATCTGCACATGTTCATGTTCTAATTTTCTTCCTCAACGTTATTCCTTCACACATCAGCTTGGGGGATCTAGTTTTCCTTAGCAGACTCCCTTCGCACAACTTGGGGGGTCTGGTTTTCTTCAGCAGTATTCCTTCACGCCGTAGTCTTTAGGATCTAGTTTTCCTCAGCAGACTCCCTCAACGCACCAGCCAGGGGGATCTGGCTCTTGCATTCCACACCTCACACATATACCTGCGCGTCATCAGCAGGATGGCCATACTATTCATAAGGATGACGATGTTCATAAGGATCAAACAAATTCTGTTGCAGGGGAGCTTTTGGTGGTTGAAGGACATCATCTGATTAGGCCTGAGGGATCTGGGTATGTTTTTAATTTATAATATTTATTTAACTATATATTGCCATTTTATGTTTAATGCTCATTCAAATTATTGTTGTTTAGTTTTGATCCGTGTCGGCCTGCTGCAAAAGCTGTAAACTAGGACATTCAATTGATGTATACAAAACCCATTAAGTCTTTCAGAGAGCTCCCAGATACTGAGAAAGATATATGGTTTGATAAATTCAAGGTAAATTGTATTTTTATTATAGTTATGTTATTTTATAACTATTTTTTTGTTATATATATCTAACATTTTATTTGAATGTCATGTAACTTGCAGGAAAGGTGTACTTAGCAAAAAATTGACGAGTTCAAAATTAAAAAAAAATTTAGAAGTAAGGTATTTAGCATATTATCTGACATGCTCAGGAATGCTAGACAACGTTGGGAAAGAGATCAAACTCATCCTAACTGGATAGGTGAGGAAATATTTGGGGAACTTATTGAGTGGTGGAAGACAGAAGATTTTCAGAGAAGATCTGAACATGCTAAAAAGATGAGGGCATCTGAAGCAGGTGGCTGTCTTAGTACAGTTGGAAGTATCAGTATCGACGAACATCGTCGATGAATGGTAATTATAACTATTTTTTAAGTTCTATTTTGTATTATTATATATTTAATTAACCTTAATTATTTTAATTAGAAAAAAGATTTGGGGAGGGAGCCACGAATTAATGAGCTATTTGTGAAGACCCGAACCAAAAAATCGGGGGAGTTTGTTGACGGTCGTTCCAAATCAACCTTGGTAACTTGGTTATAGTTGAATTATTTTATTTCATAATTATTGTATATAATTAAATTGTTTAAATTATATTTAATTTAATTTTTTAATGTGCGTGTAGGAGTTGTACCAGACCTTGCTTACCTAATTTCTAACTGAAAATCCTCAATATATGCCGATTGGGAATGCATCGCTTGATCCACACGTCGATCTTTATATTTGGAATTTAACAGTAGGCGGGAAGGGAGTCAATGGATGTTTTTTTGGTCTGGAGTCTTTGGCTGGCAATTATAGAAAAAGGGACCGAACTTTATTTCAAAGACTCAATGATGGGGAAGGAGGATCTCGTCCGATAGAATTGACACCAGAAATGTTGGCAACAGTGAGACAGTTAGCTCTATCTGAGGCGAGACGAGAGGCGGCCCTAAAGGTCGAAATGGAGAATATGAGAAATAGACAAAATGCTGAAATAGAGAAAATGAGGAAGCAGCAATCAGACATGGAGGCACAAATGCGATAATTTTTTGCCTCACAATCAAATTACTCTGTCCAAGATGATGAAGAAGACGAAGATGTTATATTTAGTACTGACGATGAATAACTTTTTTTTATATTATTATTTATGTTTGTGAAGTGAATATTATGTGACAATTTTTTATATTTTTTTTTATGTTTGTGACGTGAATTTTATGTGACTAAATATTTATATTTTTTAATGTATATATTAAAAAAAATTAAATAATTTAATTAAAAATTATTTTAATTTTTTATTTTATTATTTATTAATTCGTTGTTTTCAGTTAATATTTATTTATTTTTATTATAAAATTTTATAGTGAAGTGAAAACCATGTCACTAATATAAATATTTTTAGTTGTTGCATGCAAACCACGTCACTAATTAGTGACGTGGGAAACTCATGGAAACCTTTTCATTGATGCCAGATATAACGTGTTGTAGACATCTTCGGAAAGGTGATTTCCCACGTGAAAACCAAGTCACTAATTTCACTAATTAGTGACGTGATTTTCACGTGGGAACATTTTCTATTATTTTGGTTGTTTGCGACGTGAATCCCATGTCACAACTTAGTGACGTGTTTTTCATGTGAGAAAATGTTTCCACCATTGTTTTTCTGACGTGTTTTATCCACGTCGCAAATTTTGCTTAGTAAAGTGTTTTTTGGATTAGTGACGTGAAAAACATGTGGAAAAATGCAATATTTCTTGTAGTGAAATAGTCATAATAATAATAGAAAATCGAGAACGGGAACAACAATAGATCACTTTTCTTGTAGTGAAATTTGGTTGATTAGGAACTTGCACATTTTCTCCGGATAGGACACTGCAAATTATTCAAGGTTAGCACAGACTCGAAGGAGGTTTCTAAATCCTAGAAACATTGTTCCTTTTGTTGAACAAAAATGTCTAATTAAATAGACTTGAGACTTGGGTAACTAATCCTTTAGTTTTAGGAAAATGAGGATACTCAGTTCATTACAGGCTTATAGCGACCGATAAAAAAAATGATCCTTACCCCCGACATGGAAGATCAAACTCTTTAACTAAACTCTTTAACTCAGTATACTACTAGTGTTGTCACTCGTTGACATGATAAAAGTTTTCACTCAATTTGTATTATTATATCATTCTAATCATATTTTCAAATTATGGTCATGCAAAATTTGTATGATCACTAACACAATTATATTTTTAAAAAATTGTATGATTTCAATATATGCATTTAGGCACGTTTTTCCAACATAATATATGGAGTAGGAATAATCAACCTGGTGGCATGTTTTTCCAACAACTGGAATTCTGCTATCACCAACCTCACTGCCATTGGTTTCTAGTGAAGAAGAATTGAAATCCATGTTATTGGTTGGGGGAAGCGATTGAAGTGGAACACCATGTATTTCTTGAAATCCGGTTGCATCACCATCAACACCATTTATATTGTGAGGAGTAGGAGGACACCAACTAATTGGAACAACATACATTGTTTTGAATTCGCACTACACAAACAACAAAATTGAAAGAGTAAGATATTGAGGGATTATAAAGTAAAACTGTAGCTGTTTTAGTAAATATGAAAACGTGTCTTCGTTGATATATAAGAGAAACTTTTAGAATATAGTACAAAAATTACATTTTAAAATATAGTAACAAATACATTAAAAGTATTGCTTTTTATAAGACTAAATAAGCAATTTCATAACTGCATTTACTGTTTTTAGTTTTATGATATAGTGATAAATATGTAAAAAAAATCAATTTGTAATGTTTTTAATTTTTAAATATAGTAATTAACATATTTAAAGATAGTAAAACCTTCAGTATACCTATTTTTTTAAAATTGAATCGTTGTCATTATTTAGTAAATGGCTATGTAAAACTCATGAAAAAAATCTCATAAGATTTTGTAAATATTTTTTTAGAAAAAAAGGTCAAATTCGCCAATATCCATAATTGTATTTAATCTCTCTCGCAGATCTAGTCAAACAAAATCTAATTTCTCTCAAATTTACATTTATTCTCTAAATTTTTTTAGCTTATTAGCTTAGTGTAATGAATAGGTGTCTTGGCTGGGATTAAATAATTCTTACAAACTATATTTGTTCTGGTATAGCCTCGGTTTGACCGGGTAGGCCCAGCCCAATGATATTCTGTCAAGTTCAATCTAGCTTGAGCCACAACCGTCGAGCATAGGATCTCCTTCGGGCAGACAATGTCCCTCCGCGGGCAGGACCTTCTCCCTTGTCGAGCAGAACAACGTGTCCTTCACACGTTCTCCACGTGCTCCCCTTTGCGAGGGCACGTCACCAACCAACTGCCCACCTCCGAAAGAGCAGGTCAACCCCACTTTCAGGAGATCACAGGACAATTGAACTAGGGCGAAGACCATGTTCTGGTCTTCACTACGCCACGTAAGCCCTAGCAGTCACTTGGGTTGGGCCTGACCATCCAGCCCAACTCAAATGACCGTTGGCCCTGCGTTGGGGTCTCTCTATAAATACCCTCTTTCACAAGAGGGTCAGGTATTCTCTTCTTACCCCTTTTCTATATTTGCTGTCACTCTGTCCAAACACTTAATTTGGCATCAGAGTGTCTTGCAGGTACACCCTCCATCTCTTTTTCAACACCAGTGAGCAGGCAGTAAGTCTAAGACGCGTGACAGCCAACGATTCCCTTCTGATCAGGTCAGATTAGTGGCGCCGTCTGTGGAACATAAAACTTCCTCGTTCCTCCTAGCAGAGAACCAAAGTTCATCAATATTCCGCGATCATGGCTAGTCCGCACCATGACGATACCGTTCACGGTCTCACCCTCTCTCCTACCGCGAACGGCGGCAAACAAACAGAGACATCCCAACCTCCGGAGACCGACGAGAGGGATGGCCAGACTGCCTCTCCCTCATCCGCAGAAGCTGCACACCAGACCGTTCTTCGACCAAGGAGCCCGGCAGCGTTCCAGCCCATCCCTGTCCCGGCCGGAATTGACCCGACAGTGGCCGCCCTCTTCATGGCCATCAACCAAAGGAATCAGTTGTTGTTCCAACAGAACGCACGAATTGGCGCACTAGAGCGCGAAGCTTCATTGAGGTCCCCTCTGCGGGAAGACCAGAACGGGAATTCGAGGAGTCCATCCCCTCGTCCCAGGAATCGTCGACCCCGGCTAGAGAGGCCCTAACCCGAAGTAGTGCGGGAGAGGACTAGGTCGCCAAGGAAACAAGTCCGGGAGCAACGGCCAGCCAGGGGGGATCCCCCGACTAGACCTCCGAGGGTCGAACCCCTGGTCAAGAGGACGAGGACGCGAAATCAAGCGCCTCCGCCACCAGGGCCATCACCCCCTCAATCACCAACTCTCAGTGACGAGGACGACTACAGGACCCCCTTGTCCCGAGAGATCATGGCTGCTCCCATCCCCCACGGGATGGAGAAGCCCCTAGCACTCTCGACGTATGACGGTACCTCCGACCCAGACGACCACCTGGAAGACATCGAGGCCATGCTCGACTACCAAAATGTCCGAGGATCTATCAAAT